TTTTTTTGTTTTTTGTTTTTTGAGACAGGGTCTCACTGTGTAGTTGAGACTCACCTGAAACTCACTGTGTAGCCCAGGCTGGTCTTGAACTCACAATGATCCTCCTGCCTCAGCCTCCTGAGTGCTGGTATTACAGGCCTGCACCACCACGCCCTGCTTAATTCATTTTCAAAATGTATCTTGCCTCTGTGTATGCTCATCGTGACATGAGTGAGTGCCTTCATATGAAAGGCACAGCAAACAAAACTCAGAATTTTTACTATTTTTAGTAAAATATCACATATTTTAAATAAGAAATTGAAAGAATAGACAGGATGAAACTTGTAGTTTTCCTAACCTAGAAAAATTGTTTACTGTTGAAGTGTCAACCGAGTAGTAGAGTAGCATTTCACACAAGGGTAGGAGTCGTGTGACAATGATAAAAAGAAAGTTTTATAGAATCAAAATTCTTGAATATACCTTTCATTTATCTCCACAAAGTGTAAGTTCTGCCTCAGTGTGTATCTGTGTTTATAATGTATACCCTAACGGGCTATAGAGTAAATTGTGTGTGACTTCAGTAGCACATGTGTGCAAATACCCTGTAATAATAGTTGTATTGTTTCGGTAGTACTGACAGGAGGGTCCCGGTTGCTCCAGCACGGTATGAAGAATAGAATTCACGTAGATTCACTGTGCTGGTGTAGGACTCTGGAAGAGGCGCATCCCCACTTCTCTGTGACTTTCTTCCTGAGGAACCAATATTGAGGCTCTGTTGTTGAGGGAGAATAGAGCTTAGGTGAGAAGAGGTATTCATAGTTTTTAAATTTCATTCAAGGCAACAGTCACACCTTGAGGTGTCATATCACACCAAATATTACATGCATATCTGCAGGAAGAGAACGGGGTTTCGCCAGCTCCTTCAGCACTGCGGATAACACAGTATTTCTCTGATTTGGGCTTTTGTGCTTTCTGTCATTCTGCTTTCCTAGTTGTGTGAAGAGCTCTTTGAGAAGATCAGTGACAACTGTAATGAAGAGATGTCTTACTCTGTAGAGGTGAGTTCACTCAGTGTGAGCCTGGGTCACTATTCTGCTGTCCTCCAGCGTCGCTGCCTGGTGCCTCCCACTGATAGCCGCTGCAGACCACTTAGCCAGCCCCTCGAGTCTGAACTTGGAGACTTTCTAAGTTTTGGTTATAAGGGATAATATTGGATTTAAGTTTCTGATCACAGTTCTATATATTTTCAGTTACTACTTTTTGTATGTATCCTGATTGTTAAATAATACATTTGAATTACCAGATGGCCTTTTACAGAGGCTGTAACTCGGTTTTTATTCACCGGGAGGTGTATAAGCACCCTCTGTGCCCTTGCCAACATTTAGTATTTTTATTTTTCAGTCTTTCCTAATTTGATAAGGTATAATTTCTCTTATTTGAATTTGAATTTCTTTATTAGTGTGATTGACTGTCTTGTAAATTGTGTAGATGCCTATTTACACTTTAGCCTTCTGTCCTTCTCAGGAAGAAAAAGGACATTATCAGGCTGTCTCAGGCACAAAGTGGCTGCTACTTGTATTCAGCAGAAAGATATTTTAGAAGCAATATTAGTTATCATAGTTTTTTATGAATGCTATTTTCAATAATTGAGATTTAAAGTGAGGTTACCCCAAGCACTTGAAAATAAGAATTCATAGAGTTAAAACCAAAGAACAGTATCAGTATTCCAGCACAGAGAAGACGGGAGACCGGTAACTTTAATTCTTTAGACTGATCACACTATCACTACAGACAGCGTATGCACCAGGAGTGGTGAGGGCGGACCAGCCACTGTGGCCTGAAGACTTATGAATGAAGAGGAAATCTCAGATAATTACTTCACGAATTGCTCCATCAGCAGGACATGATGACCTGCATGATGATGAATACATCAAGTCATCACTTCTTAACTTATTAAATAAACATTTCACTTATTTAATCAACTCCCCCCTGTCATTGCATATTCACCAAAAAACCGTCAGTGTTCCAGCATAGGTCTGTCTCCAGAAGATAACTCACTAGTCTTGTAAAGTGAGTTTTTGGTTTAGGAAATAGGTACTCCTCATGGGAAGGTAACAAACCAACATGGTGGTCTCATAACAAAGCCAAGTGAGCTTCACTGAAGAGTCTGCCTTTGAAGGATGGTTTTGTCCTGATGTATCATAATTAGACATCTACATACACAAGGCTTGACTGGGATGCATTCACTACAGTAGATTATGATGCTTTCCATGAATCAGATCCTTCTGTATCACTGAGCTGTTCAGGCTACAATATCAACTCCTACAGTTTTCAACTTTACATTCTGTACTCATATTTTCAAAGTATCTGAAATGGAACCTTGTCTCCGTTTCCATTTCCTTTTTTTCTCAGTCTCTCTTTTTTTTTTAATCAGTTTAAAAAATTGACCCTGTAAGCTAAGTAATTGATCCATTATGAGAATAAAACAAGACAACAAATATTGTTTCTGGTAGCAAGTCACCTTAAAAATTAGCAAGATACTTTTAATTATTCTTACTACTTAAGCTTGTACACACAGTTCTGAATACCTAGGAGACACGAGTGCACATGCACATCTGCTTGGAAAACTTGTCCCTTTTCACGCAACTGTGAGACTAAGAGGGTTCAACACTTGTCTGTTATTAAAGAGAAAGAGGGCCGAGGATTTAGCTCAGTTTTTCTGCCGCCTGACTCAAAAGCACAAGGACCTGAGTTCAATCCCCGCTACCAAAAAAAAGAAAGTTCATGCAAGTGAATAAAAGCAACTGCCTACGCAAGGTGATACCTGTGTATACTGTTAATAGCATAAATAGGCCTAGCACTGTGGCATTTTGCTTCATCAGGCTTGCTGATCTCTCATCATATGCCTTTTTATAAAATATTTTTTGGTATGTTTTGTTTTGTTTTTTGGTAGTGGGGATTAAACTCAGGACCTTGCACTTGTCAGGCAGGCACGGTGCCACTGAGCTACATCCCCGGCCCTTTTTTTTAGGTTTTATTGATACAGGGTCATGCTATACCCAGGGTGGCCCTGAACTCCCAATCCTCCTGCTTCAGCCCCCTTGAGTGCTAGAATTAAAGGCATACACTGCTATGCCCGGCGTTTATAAGCTTTTAAATAAATATTTTCATTTCATATAATTTCTTTTCTCTAAGTCCTTTACTTCATTTTAATAATGTGTTTCTAGGTGAGCTACATGGAAATTTACTGTGAGAGAGTGCGAGATTTGCTGAACCCCAAAAACAAGGGTAACTTACGTGTACGTGAACACCCACTTCTTGGACCCTATGTGGAAGACTTGTCGAAGCTGGCAGTCACTTCTTACACTGACATTGCTGACCTCATGGACGCTGGGAACAAAGCCAGGTATGGTAAGAAACAGGCTAATGACTGAGATCTTTGGCTCATTTTGAGACCCTTGTTCCTACTTGAGGGATTGAGGCCACATTAAAGCTGTGAATGTTGATTTCATTGTGGACTCTTCTGATCCCATGTCTGTGCTGGAGAGGTGCAGGCTTTAAATAAAATATTAAGTCTTTCTTAGGAAAACAAGGCATTGCTGAAACAGGCTAGAACTTTTAAGTTTTATTCCTAGGGTTTATCAGGTCATAGTAAAATGTTAGTTGTTGTATCTATTAGTCTGTGGTAGCAATTGATTCTGGAATAAATGAGCAACTAAGAAAGAATCAAAATTAAATGCTCCAGTGATTTCCACAGGGGTAGCTGGCCTATGAACCATGTTTCTGTTGAGGGCCCTGTGGAGTTGGAGGTCAACTTGCTGGGCTCATACCTCAGGCAGCAATGTGTCAGTCTCACAGTGTGTGAATAAGTTTAAGGCTGTTGCTTGTGATTGTTATGCTTATAATGTGGAGCCTGCTGTCCATTTCAACTCATGTAAGAATTCCATTGTCACATGTCGCCTTTCTGTTTTTTTAGGACAGTGGCAGCTACCAACATGAATGAGACAAGTAGCCGTTCCCATGCTGTGTTTACCATTGTCTTCACCCAGAAGAAACATGACTCAGAGACGAACCTCTCCACGGAGAAGGTAGGGGAACTTCGGTCTCCAGGCTTGCACTGTGAAGATGGGAATTCTGAGAAGTCCATTTTACTACTCTGCATTTTTTGAAATGGAGGAGGATGACTCTTTCACCGAGTGGAGGATACTGTTGTGTAACTTCTTGCCATTTTTCTTCTACACTATACCAGTTTTCAGCATGGGTTCATTTATTTAATAATGGTAGAGATTGAACTTAGTTACTTAAATGTGCTAGGCAAGTGCTTTGCCACTGAACTACATCCTAGCCTCAGCTTGAGTGCTTAAATGAAATTGCAAGATAGAAAATACTGCATTCTCTCCCCCACCCCCCAGTACCGGGGATTGAACTCAGAATCTTGCTCTTTCCAGGCAGGCCCAGTACTGCTGAGCTACATCTCTGGCTCAAGGTAAAAAACAGAGTTAAGAAAAAATAATCTTTAAAAAAAAATGACTTGAATCTCATAAACCCTATGCAAGACAGTTAAGCAGTTGTGGGGGAAATGCCTTTGTTTTCTTCTGGAGTGGACCACAGTAATGTTAGTGGATGATGTTACTATGGGGTTAAATGTTTACATGACTGATTAGGCAGGCTGAGTATGTTTGTTCTTGGAAATAAATAACTTCATGATAGTTTGGGTGTTCTTCAAATACCTGTGCTTGTTAATTTTTTATTTTGTGTAGTAGTTAAATATTGTAGACTTTGGAGTGAGACTGCTTGCTTTGAAGCCTGACTCTTTTCAGCTGTATTATTTTGGGCAAATTATGTAACCTCTTTGTGCCTCAGTTTCTCTGTATGTAGCACCATTACAGGGGTTTTCAAAGGTAAATACAGGTAAAGTGTATATAATAGTGTTTGGCACAGAGTAGCCACTCAGTAATTGTTAATTTTATTATTAATAATTTAAAAATTATGTTGAGTTATACACTGCCTACATTTCAAAGTGGCATGTAACTAGATTCTTAAATCTGAATTTAGATTCATGTTGGCAGCTATATAGGATCCTTTTCTTTATAAAATGAGTATACTTAATGATACTGCTGTCCTTAAAAATTAGAATCATCTTTTACTTGGTGACTTTTTGTTTAAAATAATTTTAAAAATATACTCTTTCATATAGGTGATCAAATAACTTGCTCGGCCAGAGGTAGTAGTGTTGATGCTACTTGGTAGCATTTATCTGAACGACACCAAGGAACATATTGTGTGAAAGTATTTTTTGTCCTTGTCCCATAATGTCAAATCTACAAAATTAATGATTTTAATCCCTAAGCCATAGCTTCCTTGCTTGCTTTTAGTGGTTGGCGATGGGGTGTTGGAGATTGAACACAGGGTCTGTGGGTGAACATTCCACCCCAGAGCTACACCCTCAGTCCAGTAGCTCTTTTATAATCCATTCTGGATACTTTTGTTTCAACTTCTCTGAAACAACTTTATTGACATACACAGTTAACTACCATGTACATATTTAAAATGTAAAACTTGATGATTGTTGACATGTTTATCTGTGAAACTGGTTGTACCATTCAGCTTATGAGAATTTCTGTGACCCCAAAAAAGTTTTCTCATGCCCTTTTGCAATGTGCCCCTGTCCCTTCCACCCTATCCTAGGAAATTCTTGATCCATCTTTTGTCACTATAGATTAGTTTATATTTTCTAGAATTTATATACGTGGAGTCATACAGTATACACTATTTTGCCTTCTGCTTAGCATAACTTTGAGATTCATCTATTTTGTTGTATGTATCAATAGTTTATTCTTTTCATTACTAATAGATATTCTATTAAATACAGTATAGTTTATTAAATCATCTGTTGATGGATTTTTAAAACTAGTTCTGTTTGTTGAATACTGTAAATGAAGCTGTACAAATGTAAACACTTGTGTACAAATCTGTGTGTGGAGATTTTAAAATTTCTCTTGGTGACTACCTAGGAGTGGGATGATTGATTCTTTTTTTTTTCTTTTTCTTTCTTTTTTTTTTTTTTTGTATTGGTGATTGAACTTGGACCCTTGCACTTCTAGGCAGGTGGCAGAACCTCTGAGTCAAATCCCCAGCCCTAAGGATGATTGATTCGTAGATGGCTGTTTAGCTTCCTAAGAAGCTGCTAATTATACATTTTTGTATTCCCACCAGCAGTATATGAGAGTTCCTGTTGCTTGCAGCTTCATTTTTTTTTTTTTTTTTTTTTTTTTTTTTTTTTTATTAACTCGGGTCTTTGTGCTTGCAAGGCAGCCCACCAAACTGCTGAGCTAAATCCCTGGCCCTACAGCTTCATTTTTAATATGCCATTTCACTGGCTGATAAGTTTTAGATATTTTTATGACACACTGTAGCAAAATATGTCATGTTTATCCTAAAGTTATGAATTAGTCAATTTTCTGTTAATGTAGAGAAATTTCTGAGGCTGGGTAGCTTGAAAAAGGAGCAGGTTGGTGTGGTAGCACACACCTGTAATTCCAGCACCATGGGAGGTTGAGGGAGGAGGATCTGAAGTTTGAGCCCAGCCAAGGCAACTTAGCGATTTAGCAAGACTGTCTCGTAGTAAGAAATGAAAAAAGGGAGCTATAGCTTAGTGTGAATGCTTTGGGTTCAGTCCCCAGACCTGTCCCTCCCAAAAGAAGCTTATTTTGGTCATAGTTCTAGAGGTGTCATCAGGGACATGGCACGACCATCACCTTGGCTCTGCTGAGACGTTATGGCATATGGCATCACAATGGCAGTGGCATGTGTGGGGGAGATCACATCACCAGACAGGAGGTCAGAGAAGCTGCCAGGGACCAGCCCTGTCCTTTTAGAATAGCCCTCTCGAGAACCAGCTGAGGGATCCTGTGAGAATTTTGCTCACATTCCCCTGAGGACTCCCACCCCCACCCCGGGGTCCATCTTTCAAAGCTCCAACTGCTGCTGCTGTTGTTGCTACTTCTTTTTTGTTGTTGTTCTGGGGACGGAACTCAGGACCTGTGCTTGCGAGGCAGGTGGTGGCACCACTGAGCTACATCCCTGGCCCTCCCACTGCTTCTTAACATCCCTGCACTGAGGACCAAGCTTCCAGTGTATGAACCTTTGGGGGAACAAAGTCACATCCACACCACAAGTGACTTCTTTTGAACCAAGATAATTGCCATGAGTGTTCTGCAGCACCCCCCACCATGCTAGGGCTTGAACTCAGGACCTTGCACTCTACCACAGATCTGTCCCCGCCCCCCACCAGCCCTTTGCATGCGTGCCCCTTAATCCGATGATATGTCTTGTCTTCATGAACCATATTTGAGAACTTTTCATATCTTTAGTCCTCTCCATATATGATCTTTAACAAAATTTCCTGCCCTTGCTTGTTTTTGAATTGTCCCTTTGTTACTGTTCTTTACCAGGTCAGTAAAATCAGCTTGGTGGATCTAGCAGGAAGTGAACGTGCTGATTCAACTGGTGCCAAAGGAACTCGATTAAAGGTATTTATTTTACCAAATAAGCTGCCTAGTCAATCAGTGTTCTGTAACATGGGCCAAATCCAGTCCACCACCTGATTTTATGGATGAAATTTTATTAATACATAGCTACAATCACTGCATGATTATGTGTTATTAGTGCTCTACAGCGGCAGAGTTGTGAGAGATCATATGATCCACAAAACCTAATTTTAAAATTTTTTACATAGAAATTTACAAAATAGAGAAGGCATCATGGTCAGAATGAGAACTAAACTACATTTGGAGAAAAGAGGCAAAACTTGGGTAGGTGGAAGTAGAAGACCTCAAAGGGAATAGGGTACCCAAGATCCAGATGTGAGAAAAACATGAAGTTTGGTGGAGATACCTTTAACACAAACAGCAGTTTCATGTGTGAAAAAGGCTGCAACTGTAAGGTTTTAGAGAACATCCTGGAGCCTGGCATGTCATTCCCAACAGGTTGACAGATGAAAAGAGGAAAGATTGAGGACTGAGGGCAATTTTAGAACTTGTGATCATAACCAAATACACTAGCATATGATGGATTACTGTATATTTTATTCTCTATACGAATGAAAAATTACTCATCATAATACTTTCATGTTTGATGTTTATTTTAGGAAGGAGCAAACATTAATAAGTCCCTTACAACTCTGGGCAAAGTCATTTCAGCCTTGGCAGAAGTGGTAAGTTTTATACTTCATTACAAGCAGCGTTTGTCTGCTCAGCAAATACACTGGGTGATAGTTTAAGCTTACTAATGAGGGCTGACCTGTTTTGGCCCTTTCTCCTTTTAGAGCTTTCTAGATTAGATAGTATAACATAGTTTGATTTTGTACTGAAAGTAGAATGGAAGTATATATAGATGTGTAAATGCTGGGGTGAAGACCTAAGGTTTGACTAATTTTTAGAGCCTTATTTAATGTCTTTAAAAAACCAAGTGTATTTATTGTGTGTTCTTTGCCTCTGCAATCATCTCTAGGTAGGATGCATAGTAAGCTTTTGGAGTATTTTGAGCAGTTTGGCTTTGATGAATGCTGTTGGTCCAGGAGCCAATGATACTGTTTTGAAATAGTCATGAGTCACTCAACCAGGGGGCCAAGTTGTGGGAAATGCATCCTTAGGCATTCGTCACTGTGGGAACGTTGGTTGTGATACTTGCTCGCACAGACCTGGGTGGGGAGCCTACTGCACACCTGGCCAGAGGGTGTAGTCTACTGCTGCCAGGGTCACAGTGGAAAAAACAGTGTGAAGTTAAGTCCAGCACAAGAGAAGATGAGTCAATCCAGAGTCGGGTAAACACACAAGATGTTGAGGCTACTGCCACTGTAATGTGGCACACGTTCACGGTAAAAAAAATTTTTTTTGTTAAGTAATAAGAATATTCTCTAAAAGAGGGAAAAAAGTATAGCATAGTAAAGACACACACCAGTGACATGGTCGCTTATTACCATGCGTCCATGTGCAGTACCTGCTGTTCTACCGGCAGCGCATGAGTTTCTCTGTGCCTGTTCACTGCAGACATGTGAGCAGTGTATGGTGCTGCCACCTAAGGTCTGCTCTGACATAGAGGTTTTCCAGCACTGTTACAATCTTTTGGGGCCACCAGTGTGGGTCCAGTCAGCACGTGGAGGAAAAGGTCACTGTGCAGCACGTGGCTGTAGTTTCATTCTTTCCCATTGTTTAACAGTGGAACACCAAAGAGAAAGCGTTTTTTGTGTAAGCATCTTCATTATTTGGTTTAGGAACTGAGGAAGTATTTATTAGTCATTTTGTGTTCTTGTTTCAATTTATATCTCATTTAAATCACTAAAAAAAGCTGAGTATTTTGTGCTTATCTCTGAGAAGTCATAATTTAATTTTCATTGAAATAAAGTACTATTTTGTATTTGGAGGCTTATCCCATGTCCTTGTTCTTTCCTCTCAATGCTTTCGTCTGTAGGATAACTGCACCAGCAAGGTATGGTGGGGATCGGCAGAGACAAACTAGCTGTAGAACCAGCTCATGGTTTTAAGTCCACTGGGGATGTGTAGAGGCATAAGTAGGAATGGAACCTTCAACGATTTTTCATCATTTGTTTTCTGGCCCTGAAATTTAGGATGGCTCTTGCAGGTGATCATAAATCATAAGATTTCATACCAGAATTAATTTAGGAACATGATGTGCTTGGAGAAGGAAATAAGAATAAAGAAACAAAACAAAGTCTAAGAAGTTTTATATTATGTCATCTTACAGTGTTTGTCCTGGTGATATACAGAACTGTTCCTTTACACTTGAAGGTTCACCATATTGTTTCTTCAGGATACTACTCTAAAACATGCCTGGCTTCTTGAAATCATATGTGTATGTATGTGTGTGTGTGTACGTGTGTGTATGTATGTGTGTATATATATATACATACATATATACACACATACATACACACACGTACACACACACACATACACACACACACACACATATACATACACCTCTTTGTATTATTTTACTTGTTTCCCATCATGAAAGGTCATGGGAAATTTAAAACATTAATTTTTTTCCTATTCTCTGATTACACATAGATGAAGTGAAAGCTGTAGAATTAAGTTAAAGTTTTAACTGTGTCTAGAAAACTTGTATCTTCCTTTACCCAAATATTATAGATTTTTCTCTTTATTTCTGTACAAATATTCTAGGATTTATTAGTATTCTTTTGCACAAATTTAGAGCCCCTAATTGTTGTGACTCACATGAGGGAAATTGGAGATAGAGGCAGTATTTTCAGTGGAACGTTTTATACCCCTACTTTCAGATATTTAGATTGGTTTATTTCCTCCACCTTTATAATAATAATTTAGGAAAAAATTATGCCTTTTTATTTTTCTTTACTTAACAGCAGAAGGTGCCTTATTTAGAAATCTACTTGCTTTTTAATACTGTATGAGCACACATTCATGTACCTAGTGTGGATCTTACAACCATGAAGACTTAAAATTTAGTGATCTAACTTGTCCAGTCTCTTTGCTCCCCTATTAGTGTATCAATCACAAGAAAGTTTACAGAGTATTTGCTGTAAATGTTCACATTGCTCTGTGCCACAGTTATGTAGCAAACATAATTTTTGGCAAACTAAGACATTATTTCCACTGGGGAAGGAAACAACTTTATTGCTATCCCCACTTAACAATGTAGGTTGAGTGTCCCTAACTCAAAAATCCAAAATCTGAAACTTTTTGAGTCCTAGTGTAAGACTCCAAGTGGAAAATTCCACATCTGACAATCGAAACATAGGCATATTGAAATTACTGTAAAAATTTACTTTCAGGGACTGGGGATTTAGCTCAGTGGTTCTGCTGTCTGCCTTGCAAGTGCAGGGACCCGAGTTCGACCTCTGGTACCAAAAAAAAAATTTACTTTCAGGCTATATATATAAGGTGTATATGAAACATAAGCTAGGGTCTCATCCCCTAAATATCTTATTATGTATATGGAAATATTCTTTCTTTCTTTCTTTTTTTTTCTTTTTTGTAGACAGGGTCTCACAATGTAGTTGATACTGACCTGGAACTCACTATGTAGCTCAGACTGGTCTTGAACTCAGTGATCCTCCTGCCTTAGCCTCCTGAGTGCTTGGATTACAGGCATGCGCCAGCATGCCCAGCTTAGAAATATTCTAAAATAAAAAAAGTCTGAAATATTTTTGGTCCCAAGCATTTCAGATGAGAGATACTCAGCCTACACTTTTTTTTAGAGAGATTAATGATCCAACTGAACTTTCTTTGTAACTACTGAAGAACTTATTTTCCAAATGTGTTTAAATATGAGAATGGGTGAGATTAATTAAGAAAACAAACAGAAAAGAAATGGTCAGAATTCTGGAATATTTTCAAATGCAATTGTTGAAGTCCTACTTATGTTCATTCATTTAACTATTTCTTCTTAATTTAGTCTGACAGAAATGAAAATAGGACATTTTTGTCAAGCCAGCTTGCTTATTTTTATAGTACTGTTTGTGATTATTGTGACTGGTATACTTTAAGTTCTACAGCACTTTCAGTCTTAACAGTGGCCGTGTAGCTCAGTGGTGCCATGTCTGCCTGGCAAGCTGAAGGTCCTAAGTTCAATTCCTGGTACAAAAAAAAAAAAAAAAAAAGATATCGAAGCCCTAATGAAACGTTTAAAGACTAGAAATAAGGGCCAGGGATTTAACTCGGTGGTGCGGCACCTGTCTTGCAAGTGCAAGGTTTTGAGTTTGGGCCCCAGGAAAAAAAAAAAAAAAAAAAGGCAGGGGGATAACAGTGGACAAGTGGGATGTTTAAGCTGTTCAGGAACTATAAAAGTATAAGCTAAGGTCTTAGGCCTCAGAGATTCTGTAGTGGAGGGAAAGTTTATTCTGAAAGGCTTCATTTTTCTTGGAGCCCTGTACAATTTTAAATTGATCCTGCTACTGGAAATGACTTTCTAACTGGTGGAATATGCATCTGTGGCTGGAGTGCGATAAGATCAGGCGGATGGGTTTGTTTGCATTGCTGTGGATCAAACCCTGCCCCTTGAACATGCTAGATAAGCATTGTACCACTCAGCTGCATCCCCAACTCAGTGTTTGTGGCAAGAGATGATTTGCAGTGTCACTTGCCTGCTCCCTTTTCTTCTCCACAAACCTGAGGTTAGCCACTGAGTATTCTTCTGAGTACCTGTGCTTTTGCAAAAAGTAGATTATCCTTTATAGAACCTTGGATAGTACTAGGAGTGGATTCTAAACTGCCCATTGCCAAGGCATTGTTAATCAGGGAGCCTTTTTCCTGAGTTACTGCTTAAGGCCTAAGAATACATTAGTTAGCCAGAGGTATTTATTTAGTAGCTGTCTGCAAACAGTGAGTTCATTTTTACCTCTAGAGAATACGATTTTTCCTGTTGTAGCACTACCTTTTTAGTGGTGCTTTTGTTTTGTCCTGTGGTAATGAGAAAGATCATGAACCGAGCATTATAAGTAAAGGATCCTTAAAATGCATAGAAAATTCATCCTCACAGTCTTTATAGATCTCTAAATTAGCAAATTACATCATTTTTCTAGACCTTTTCACTTTTAGTCCTTATTCTAATGGTTGGATTTCATTGTTGTCATAGTTGATACATATGCACCAACCTATGATGATTTTGTGGTTGGCCAAGTAAATTCATTAACTAAACAACTCGTTCTTACATATCCAACCTGAAATGCTCAGGATTTCTATTTACCCTTCTGTACAAATAAAATGTGTTTGGGCTGGGGATGTAGCTCAGTAGTTCTGCCGCCTGCCTTGCAAGCACAAGGTCTGAGTTCAATCCCCAGTACCAAAAAAAAAAAAAAAGAGGCTAAAAATAAAATGTGTTTGAGGACTGGATATTAGATAATAGTGAAAAATTACTGTTAATTTTGTGAAGTATGATGATAATCTTTCAGATTTTTTATAGTTTTTGTCTGTTAGAGATATGTAGAGAATTTATAGATGAGATGCTAGATTTGCTTTAAACACTAACAGCTGTAGAAGACATGAACAGCTTATTAGGAAACAGTATTATTGTATTGCTGTTAAATTTTAAACTTGTCGGTTATACCATGAGAGTGTCCTCATCTGCTGACATGTTAGACAGGATGTCTGTACTGTACTTCTGAATGGTTCAGGACTCAATGAAGTATTTGGAGGATAATTGAAAGATGAATATATATTGATAATAATTGAAAGTGCATGGCATCATACAGTAGCACATTTTACTATTTTCTAGGCTTTTGTGTATGTTATAAAAATTTCAAAAGAATGCAAAAAGGATAATTGCATGAGCTTTGCATGAAGAATTGAAGCTGTAAATGATAAATTTCAACAAAGGTGGATTACTACTGTAATTTGGCATATTTGTGAATTTTAGACTGGCTTGTGTTTTATATGAATTTTTTACCTTAACAGTGCTGAGGCTATTCCTTTCTTTTAATAGAGTAAGAAGAAGAAGAAAACTGATTTCATTCCTTACAGGGATTCTGTACTTACTTGGCTTCTTCGAGAAAATCTAGGTATGTTGATTACTAGTACAAATTCACTTTGCGGTTATCTTTTTAAAGCTATTTATTATCTTTTGTGGTTAATTATTCTATATCTGTTTTGGAGAAAAATTATCTGTAGATATTCATATTACTAACTTGAATGCTTCTTGCCTCTTCATTTTTACTCCGCCTGACTTGAGCTTGTTTGAGTCACTTTAGTCTGGGTGTTCTCCCATATTTCATTTAGGGCAGGGCATAAACGGGAAATGGTTGTCTTCCTGACTCCCAGCACCTACTTCAAACTATTGCTCCTTCTTCACAGTTCTTCCAAAACCTCCTGTTCCTCTGAGGTGCACAGAGTCAGACAGCGTCAGCCTTTACTTCTTATTGCTGGTGGTTTCTACCTTCCAGCCCCTGCTTTATTTAATGCTCTTTCTTATCAAGAAGGAGTGATGGTATGTGCCAATAGAGGGGAGAGGTGAAAAGTAATCCAGTGGACTGGCTCCCAGCCAGCACCATTCCATTGCCACGGGCAGTGTTGGTGAGTGGCTGAGGTCTTGATTGGAGTGAGTTCAGGAGAGAGTGGAGGCACAGGAAGTGGACCCAGGAGATCCAGATCCCAACATTTGAGTGTGACAATGCCTGGCCTGGAGACATTTAAGAAAGTTGTTGGCTTTTGATTAACTTTTATCATCTGAGATTGTGCTGTCAAGATTTAATGCACTCAGTAAAACTTTTTCAAGTGAGATGTTTGAGATATTTGTGATACCTCTTCTCAGGTGGCAATTCTCGGACTGCAATGGTTGCTGCTCTGAGCCCAGCAGATATCAACTATGATGAAACTCTGAGCACTCTGAGGTACTTCTTCCTGTGCAGTGTGCGGCGGCCACACAGACCACATTGCTGTCACCAGGCCTTTTTCTGTGCTGTGTGGGTGGTCATTTAGACAGTGATCTTTCTTTCTTAACAAGGAAAAGATGAGGGAAATGAGTTTTTACTGTAATGGAATTTACCTTTTGGTGGTTTGCAGTTTCACTGGGAAAGACAGGAACTTTTTGAGAGGAAAGAGGTTCAAATTGCACAGGCAAAATTTTCAGATAATAATGAAAAATTTTTATGATCGTTTCTATAAAAAGTTATTCTCTTACAAGCACAGACTTTGTCTTTATAGAAACATTGAAGTTATAAGAAATAACACAATTAGGAGTATATGTAGCATTAATAAAAGTTAACAGGATGTTCAGTAGTAAAATATTTTTATATGTAAATATATTCTATTACTTTAATCGGGAACTCTCCTTTTCCCATATAGTTTTGATACAGCAAAAGAATCCTGTCTAATCTGACAGCCTGGGTTTGAGACCTCTCTGGTTTTCATTTCTTTTGTTGTTGTTGTTTTTTGAGACAGGGTCTCACTATGTAGTTGATACTGACCTGGAACTCACTGTGTAGCCCAGGTTGGTCTCAAACTCACAGCGATCCTCCTGCCTCAGCCTCCTGATTGGTGGGATTACAGGCATGCGCCACCACACCCGGCTCTGGTTTTCATTTCTGTTGTGATTGTGCACAGATCACTTCAGTTCATCTCAGCTTTCCCTCTCATCTTTATAAGACTATAAAGCTTTATATAAATATATTATTAATAAGGCTCATAAAATGTGTAGATACCCAGGATATTTGCTTGAGTATGTTGCTTATGAGAAAAAGAGTACCTGTGATATGGCAAGAATGAATTTTTTTATTTAGATATGCTGATCGTGCAAAACAGATTAAATGTAATGCTGTCATCAATGAGGACCCCAATGCCAAACTGGTTCGTGAGTTAAAGGAGGAAGTGACTCGGCTGAAGGACCTTCTTCGTGCTCAGGGGCTGGGAGATATTATAGATAGTAAGTGAATTAAGATCAACACAAAATCTAACCTTCCTCTTCAGTTTCCTATAATTAAAATATATTTGAAATTTAAGGAATTTGATGAAATGAGATGGTAGTTGAAGTGATTTTGTTTTTTTTCCTTAAAACCCCAGTGAAGTCCAGCATGGTAGTGTGTACCTATAGACTCAGCTACTCAGGCAAGTGGATTGCTTAAACTCAAAGGTTTGGGGCGAGCCTGGGCAGTATAGCAAGGCCCATTTCAAAATGAGCAAAGTGTGCTGGGGATTTAGCTTAGTGGTTCCTCTGCCTACCTCATAAGCAAGCACAAGGGCCCAAGTTCGATCCCCAGTACCAAAAAACAAAACAACAATAAAAAAACAAAAGAAAGCAAGAACAATGAAAATGATCTTGGAACTTCTGTAGTAGGTGCCAGGCGATCATGAATTTTTTAAAAATGTTAACTGAGAAAACGTAACTTCATAAAAATGTGACTTGGAATTTTTGATTCATGGGTTTCCCTGGATTAGAGTAGTGGCAGTAATTCATGTATAGGTAATTCACCATTCAAGTCTACTTTCAGGTAAGATTCACCTTTAAATGTCCCTTGCTCCCTATGAACCTATGAAGGAGAAAGGTTCATTTCCTCAAGTTTCAGAACTAGATATGTAGATATCTAGCAAGTACTGCTTTACAGTGCATCATTAAAATCTCACTGATGTGCCTATATATAATATCTAATCCAGAATTCTCCTAACCTAGTGCAGTGGTAAATCTGGTGTATCTGTAATCCCAGCTACACAGAGCTGAGATTGGAGAATCACAAGTTTGAGGCCAGTGTGGGCAGCTTAATGAGATGTAATAGTAAAAAGATCTGGGACAGAGCTCAGTGGTGGGATGCTTGCCCAGTATGCTCAAGGCTCTGGGTTCAATCTCCAGTGCCACCAAAAAATAAATAGTTAAATAAGTGAATAGCCTGGGATTGATCCAGGGCCTCAAGCATCCTAGGCAAGTATTCCTCTACTGAGCTACATCCTCAGCCACTCCCTAGACCTTTTTTAAATTTAATTTTATTTATTTTTTGTGACCGGGTCTAAGTTTGCCAGGCTGGCCTCAACCTTGTCAATCCTGCGTTGGCCTCTAGAGGATCTGGGATTATAGGCATGTACTACCACACCTGGATGTAATTTTTGGGTGTACAATTAGAATTATATTCTTCGACATTCTGATAGATTTTGAAGGCCTCTTCTAGTTTAGTTCTTACTGAACCTGAGTTTAGATTAATGCAGTTTGTAAAAATGATCATATATTGTATTAACTTTATTCATCTTCCCAAATGCCAAATACTGCTGTGTTCCCTCTCTGTGTCACTGCTGAACGTGAACTCTGACCCTTCTTGTATTTTCCCTCCTGCTTACCTTCAGTTGATCCATTGATCGATGATTACTCTGGAAGTGGAGGCAAATGTGTGTATTTCATATATTGGTTATTCCAGTATGCTGACTTGCTAACCTGCCTCTGCTGGATCAGCCTTAAAATGAGCTTTGCATGCCAGCGATGCTAATGGGGAAATCCCAGACAGAGCATGCTGTACAGCCAGTACTTCTCCTTTTTTTTTTTTTTTTTTCCCTTCTCCATTTAGTAGAGTGACCTTTGAAGAATATCAGTTTGTTGTTTGAAGTTGAAAGACTTAAGATTCCGTGTTTCATTCTTTCGTTTTTCCCCATGTGATTCAGTTAAACCCAGAATCCCAGATGATGAGGACAGCACTGCTGACAGCTCACATTATGGGTATTCTTAATGCACCATTCCCTCTTCAGGCACCTTCAGCATTATTACCTCTCTCAGTTCTGCCTCTGATTGACACGGCTTGAGGCAGGCTTCTACTGTGCCCCTTTTACCAGTAGCCAGAGTGATTAGTTTCCCAAGCCCCATGATTTCTGTGGGTCCCATTGGGTAGTTGCTTTTTTTCTAACACTTTTTTTACTTGCACCTGTAGTTGCTGCCTTCATGGTCAGATTATTTATAGAAAATTCATTTTCAGTTAACCTTGTAATTGCAGGTCTTTTTATAATGAACAAGATCATTTCTGGTTGGCTGGATGGAGGCACTCTGTGTTAGGTTAGCCCTCCCTCTGCTTATGCTAAGTTGGTTTTCTCCATATCTTAGGCCTCAACTTATTGGATGGTTAGCTAAGTATTTCCCCCTCTTTTCATAAAGACACTAAGATTTAAAAACTGAAGAGTCTAAAATATATACTTGCAATGAAGTCATTTTATGAAGGATCACACTACATTATAATCTCCGTATGTAGCATTAAGTTGATGAGGAAATAAATGCTTAGCCTTTATAACTCATAAAGGAATTAACTTAAAAGACATGAATAATCCTGGTTGGATATCAATTTTAAGATTCATATTGATTTTTTTTCCATACAATTAGACACATCAGATAATAGGGAAGTGCATAAGAGAACCCAGACATTGCCTGGTTGTGATGAGTTAGGTCCTGCAGACCCTGGAATGTTCTAGTAAGACATATAACTCTTGGACTGGCACAGCTCTGTCTGAGATTTCCAAAGTTGAATGATACTGGTGTGGAAAAGATGCTTTCTTGTTCTTGCTTTTGTGCTCAGAGTTGCTGTTGCTATCTTGCTACTGACCTCCGAGCAGCTATGGCATTTCCGAGAAACTTTGCATGACTAAGTTTTAACTCCCTATCTGTGAAGGAAGGCAGTCCTGAGTAATTCTTGGTTTCCGCTTGATTTACTCTTTAATTCCTTTCAGGGCTTGCATGTGTCCACTGGACCTTCTAAATCCCATCCATCCTCCCCTTCCCACCTTGCCACCATCATGTGGTGGCTGACTTTTTGCTGTAGTTCCAATTCCCCTTTGAAAATATGCCTCTTTGCTTATTTTCCTATGTTCTATATTTACAGATGGTGGTTTTCAAACTGTCTTGAAGCAACTGCAGGCTTTAAAGGGCTTATAGAGCTATCTTTAATTAAATAGTAAAGATGAGTAGGGCCGGGGATTTAACTTAGTGGTTCCGCTGCCAGACTTGGAAGCACAAGGACCTGAGTTCAATCCCTGGTACCAAAAAAAAAAAAAAAAAAAAAAAGTAAAGATGAGTAGACCTAGAGAGAACAAATAATATTTTTCTGTTATTTGTATTACCTCATATCTTAGTTTTTGTGCAAATTTTAAGCAGTATAGATTTTCTCAATTTAAAATGAGCCAATGTAAAAATATGAATGCACCTTTGGTGTTCATTTGAGAAGGATGACTAAAGAAGAAAACTATAAACAAATTAATGAATTTTTTTGTTTGTTGCTTTTAAAAAACTAAATTTGAGTAAATTTACAGTTCTGTTAAGAGACTTCAGCAAGTGAAACTTGGTCCCTAAAATTCACATATCATACTAGAAAGCAAGCTTGCCAATGATCCCATGGTTGTACTGTTGTTTGCTTAAGTTAGCAAATAATCAGTCTTTCTTTTTTTGCCACGGTAGATGAGTGGAAATTACACCAAAGCATAGCAATTTGCTAATTTTTCTTCCCTATTGAGGCAACTGTTGAGTTCTGAGGGTTTTTTTGGTTGGGTTTTTTTTTTTTTTTTTTTGGTACTGGGGATCGAACTCAGGTCCTTGTGCTTGCAAGGCAGGCAGCAGAACCACTGAGCTAAATCCCCAGCCTAAATTCTGATTTTTAACCAGACTTATACAAAATTCCTCTCTCATTCTGCAGTTACCTCTCCTTTTAAGACATATTTAAAAAATCTTCTGGCATGTTGAAATGTTGTTATACAAAGGATACTACTAAGTATCCCCAGCCCATGTTTTAACCGTAATATTTCCTTGGAAATTTTTGGCTGAATTCCATAAAATAGTGGCCCAGGCCAGTATGGATTATTATCGGTAAATGAGCATTGTCTTCTCCTTACTGTTACAGACCCTTAGAATTTTAAAGTAGTGTGAATCTGAAGGCATTGTAGATGTGGAGCAGTAGGATAGGAGAGTGTCATCTGGCTTTCCTGGGAGAGTGCCAGGGGCCTTTGTGGCTCTGGTTACCCCCTACCAGATACAGTGCTAATTCACACTGGAAATTTTTAGTTTCTAGATTCAGAAATTATTCTTAACCTTTAAGACACCAGCATTTAAAAGACATGTTTTAGAACTGCCATCTAGAATAGTCATAACTTATCTTTTGTATTACAGTGTCATTGTCTTGGTGCTTTAATGCTGCCCTCTCTTACACTGGTGTTCCTTCCTGTCTTTTTTCCTTCCTCTGCTCCTTTCCTTCTTTTTCTGCCTTCCCTTCTTTCCTTGTCTCCCAGATCTGAAAGATTTTCAGAACAATAAGCATAGATACTTGCTAGCCTCTGAGAATCAACGCCCTGGCAATTTCTCCACAGCACCCATGGGGTCCCTCACTTCATCTCCGTCTTCCTGCTCACTCAGTAGTCAGGTGGGCCTGACATCAGTGAGCAGCATTCAGGAGAGGATCATGTCTACACCTGGAGGAGAGGAAGCCATTGAGCGCCTGAAGGTAAGTGATTCTTGGCAGGAAAACAAGGTAGGAGTACTAAAAGTCACTGAAATTTTGACTTAGTACATGGAGAACTCTTTAACTCATAGAAGTATTTTGAAAAGGAATTTTCTGCTTAGGTAGTTAATTTCTCTTCACTAAAATGTGTGACATAGCCACAAAGTAAATGATAGGTAGATATGTACCTATCTAAAAGATGGTCACAAAGTATCTGATAGGTAGATAATATATATTAATTTTGAAGTAACTTATAAGTCAGTGAAATTATTCCATTAGAAATTTAGTTTTGGGGCTGGGGATTTAGCTCATTGGCACTGCATCTGCCTCACAAGCACATGGTCCTGATTTTGATCCCTGGTACAAAAAAATAATAATAATAATTTAGTTTTTAAAAGAAATAATTAGTTAGAAATACTTGGTTTTGTTTGAAGGTAGAATTTCAAAGAACCGTTCTGTTAGTAAACTTAATGTACAACTACAATTCAGCTTGCATGCTTGAGAGGCTATACCAGGTTGATTCAGCTATACCTGAAATTACATCTTCTGGAAATTCACAGAAAGCCTTGATGCCCTCTGATTATGGGAGCAGAAGGGCTTTTCCTCCTGTGCTGTTGGTGCACATGGGGTCCAAGGCCATGATGCAGGTCATGTGCCCAGGGCCCCAGCTTTGCTGCAAGCTGTACAGGTTCTGTCTAGTCACTCCATGGTGTGAAATTCAGGAGTGGCAAAGCCTTCCAGCTCAGAGCTCTTCCCTCCCCTCAAGGACCACAGTGAGGGTAAGGCAGGTGTCACCCTGGTGCTGAGACAAGCTGCCCCAAAGCCTGCCATCCATCAGATAACACAAGAGAGGCATCAAGTGATCTCTCCTCCCCTGTTTGTCACCTCCAGGAAGATAGTTTATTCCATCCCTCCTGACCTTGGTGTGCAAGGGAGGTAAGGAGGGCCAACAAACTTTTTAAAAATCTGGCAAGTTCAGCCATGCTGGCAGCCGGCCTGCTCTTTGCCTTCCTTCAGTGTCCCAAACTGCTGTCCCCTGGGACTCACAGGCACTGACTGAGAGCTTTGCCCAGCCTTCGCCACTAAAGGTGAACTAATCTCGATAAATGAAGATGTTACTTGCTTTCATTTCAGTTTTCAAGTGAGGCTGATAGCAATTTCATAGGAAGACCAGGCTTCTACTTTTTCTTTCTTGATCATCCCACCTTTGCCCTTGGCATTTTACTCACTTCAAAAAGAAGGTGCTACAGAAATAAAAATAATGACCTGTTTCTTCCTTCAGAAAGTGAGTGAAGTTCTGAAATGCCTAGCAAAGGGAGAGGGAGTAAGAAATCTTTCCGCTCAAGATTGCAAGCTGCAGGGGAAATTCTGCCGCTGGTAAAATTGACTGAGGTTTTCCTAAAGACCTTAGTGGAACTTATGCAGGAAGGTGTCTTCATTCAGGAATTTTGTCACAAATAGGTGTCAGGGAGTGCGTTACTGTGTTGGCCTCTGTTCAGAGCCAGATTGGAAGCAGGGGCCTCTGTGGGAAGGAGAAGTGAAACCTTCTACTTACTATTTAATATAAAATGTTCTTTTACTTTGCAGAGTTTGACTCTTACTCTTTGCTTAGTAGAAGGCTTAGTGCACAAATGAGATTACTCTTCCTCTGACATTCATCTTAGTACAGAGGAGAAAATCTCCCTAAATGCCAAGTGGAACCAACTGGAAATAATGTCAGATGTTGGGAATCAAGACATTAACTAAGCTTTTTAAGAATTAGGTCACCCAGTGTCTTCTAAATAGTTTCCAGGGAATAATGCTCCCGAGGGAGTTCTCCTCCCACCTCCCTACTTCCATTAAAACAAAACAAAATCATATTACTTTAATCAGCAAATAAATCCCTCTGTTTTAATTCTCCTTTAAGCCCCATAAATGAAATCTTCCATTCTCCCTAGCTTTATTCTAGAGAGAAAGTGACTTCTTTGTGGTTTTGTTTCGAGTGCAATGCCCTGGTTCACTGGAGCATAAGCACCTTAGTTCTGCTCTTTGTGAATGGGGAGAACGCCTTGGGCAGAGCTGCATGTCAGTGCTGCAGGTGGATCACACGTAGCAGACATGTTCAAGATCTGTCCTAAAGCATGACACTGCAGGGGAGAAATGCTCTCATGGAAAACAAAAATAGAGAAGGTAAATTCATTTTCCTAACAGTTTGTTTCCCTTTGCCTCTCTTCCTTTTTGGTGTAAGATCGGTTGTTAGTATGCTCATTTTACATTCCTCCCATTTTGGTCATTGAATATCCTATTTCCATCTGTGAAATACCTTCTATAACCCTTTTTGAGAAGAGAGTGAGTGCTGTGTAACTGCTTTTCATTTTAAGTTACAGCTCAGGCTAACTAGACATGTATGTATCCTTGATTTGCTTTCCTGTTTAATAAGGTCGGGCCTTGTTTTGTTTTATCTTTGAAGTATGGGGGGATTGAACCCAGGGATGCTCTGTCATCAAGCAATATCTCCTAGCCCTTAAAAAATTTCTTTAAAAAAATTTAAATGTTGAGGCAAAGTCTTGATAAGTTGCCCAGGTTGGACTCAGACTTTTGATCCTCTTGCCTCCGCCTCCTTGAGTGCTGGAATTATAGGCATGTGCTGCCACACCTGGCTTCATGCGGTTTAAGTATGTCACTGCAGCCACTGTGATGGCTCTGGGTTTATAGTCTGGCATCGAAGTCAGTACTGTGCCAGTGCTTTGGCTTAGTCTATAAATGCCCTCCAATACCCATTGCAAATGCAGGCGAGGGAGGGCAAGTGCTGTGGTAAGCAGCCTTAGTTAGGGCTGCTATAAGTCACTTATGTATTCAGTACGGTAAAACCTTGGCTGTCTGATGGCTTCAAGGAGTGGCCCATGTAGTAAGCATTTAACCTCTTACGTATCAACATTTAAATTATATATATATTTGTTTATTTGGCGAACCCACATGGTAGGGCCTGCATTCAACCACTGAGCCTTTTAAAGTTCAACTTTGAACCTGATGTGGTCACACAGGCTTGTAATCCCAGCCATTTGGGAGGCCGAGGCAGATCGCCAATTCAGGTCTCACCTGGCAGTTTCTTTTTTCTTTCTTTCTTTCTTTTTTTTCTTTTTTTTTTTTTTTTTTTTTTTTTTTTTTGGTTTTTTTGAGACAGGGTCTCACTGTGTGGTTGAGTTTGACTTGGAACTCACTATGTAGCCCAGGCTGGTCTCAAACTCACAACGATCCTCCTTCCTCAGCCTCCTGAGTGCTGGGATTACAGGCATGCATCACCAAGCCCGGCTGTACGCCTGGCAGTTTCACAAAACCAAGCCTCAAAATAAAAAATCGAAGAAGTGGAACATAGCTTAGTTTGAAGGCCCTGGGTTCAATCCTCAGTACTGTAAAAGTGAACAAATACATAAATAAATTTTATTTTGAGCCAGGATCTCCCTAGCTGCCCACACTACCCTTGCATTTGTAGTCCCCCGCCTCAGCTTCCCAAGTAGCTGGGATTGCATGTGTACACCACCATGTCCAGCTCTAATTCTGCCATTTTTTTTCATGAAAAACATTTTTGATTTGTCCTGTGGATTTTTCTCTCTCTTTAACTGAATCATCAAGAAGACATTGTTTGGCTTTGTAAACATAGTGTATTACCCTTTGTGCTACGAATACTTAGAGACACAGATGTACATGATATGAGTGAGGGACAAGGGAACCCAGCATTCCTAGGTGCTTAGGAAAGACTCCTGCCAGACCTGGTGCTGTATTATACCAGTCACTGTTCTTTCCATGTACATAATTATGTGTTGGGATCCCAGAGGTTTCTTACAGTAGCTTGTTAATGAATCATGTGGTAATGTATTTTGGGACCTGTAAGACTTCCTCATTAATCGCTATGAGGTTTCCATCACTACTGTTATCACCACCATCACTGTCTGACTTCTAATTTCCTTTTCATGAGAAGCATTTCCTCCTGTCTTTGCGTATGCCCATCCTCTTTTTGGGTCTTCCTCAGCTCACCAGCCCACAGACATCTGTGAATGCCTCTGGTCTAGCACACAGATCACTGTCCTGCTGTGCCCCCAACCCTTTCTCAGTCCTCCGAACAGCATTACTGTTTCCTAGAAAACTCCAGGCCCTTTCCTCCCTCTTCCCCCACCTGTGTGGCAGCATCTGTCCTCCCCTATCTCTGCTCACACAGCTGGACCGCCTCACTTCCCTTCTTCCTGCATTTCTTCCCTTTCTTGCTTCTCCCCCACTCCGGAGCACTTACCACTGTCCTTTGCTGTATACTCACTGATGAACATTGCCTTGGTCTCTTCACTAGAGAGTGAGTCTCAAGAAGGTAGGAATTTCTCCCTACCATATCTCTAGTTCCCTGGAATGGGGCTTCAATGTAGTGGGGTTATATGCAATTACTGAATGAATAAATCAGCATATAGTAAAACTCATCAAGAACAGGAATCATTTTAGTTCGCATATTTATGTATGTAATAAACACTCAGTAGGTGACTGGTAAATGGTCTCTTCAGTGGGTACATGAGATTTAATACTGAATCCTTGCATCCAGGTTATTGGGTCCTGTGCAGGGAGGGGATTGTGGAATAGTGAAACTACTGTGAGACAGAAGCAGTGACTTCCTTCTGAACTTTACTCATTTATAGAAGAGGTTGTCAGATAAAACATCTTGCATTTGGGGGTGGTGATACTACCTTTCTTCCACCTACACACGCATGACACACATACAGACTCGCTATTCGGTATTTCTAGGAAGACTTAAAGGATTTACATGGCTGGGGCTGACTTAGTTTTAAAATTAGTTTTTAGGATTCTTATAGTATATATTTTTTAAAAATCTTTATTGACTTCTGCCTCCTATCTTCTGCTTCTTCCCTTCCTTCCTGGACAGTGTATGTGATATTCAAAGATCCTCCCACTTTAACGGTGTACTTTCCTCCTTAGGAATCAGAGAAGATCATCGCTGAGCTGAATGAAACCTGGGAAGAGAAGCTTCGAAAAACAGAAGCCATCAGAATGGAGAGGTCAGAACATTAAAATCTGGGAATATTTCTAAGTTTTCTAGGGAATTTGGGTTACTTTTATGGTAAGACAAGATGAAGTAGAAGTTAAAAACAACCTCTTCTCCTGAAGCACAAAATAGAAACCAGCCTGGCAAGTGACTTGTGACATGAACTGTGATGTGAACCACATGTTTAAAGATTCTCTAGGGGTTCTGTGCTTAATGTTGCCATAATACATGTTGCTAAGGATCAATAAAAATGGAACATACTGGGTGAAAGAATTTATTTGCTGAAACTAGACTGCCTTTGACCAAGTGCTGTTCTGACTACAGTCTCTCAGAATATCCTTTTTTAGAACTTCTTTGGTGAAAGATATAGTTTAGCTTGCAGCTGGAGTAAATGGATACTTAGGAAATCAGTTCCTGTCTTTCCCCTTCATAGAAGTTGAGGCCAAAGTGAGTTTTAATGTACAGATACAGTAAATACAACAAACAATAAGAATTTTTTAGCTGAGTGCTATGATGTGCACTTGGTATTCCAGCTACCCAGGAGGCTGAGGCAGGAGAATGGTAAGTTTGAGGCCAGCTGGGCAACTTAGTGAGATTGTGTCTCAAAATAAAAAGGGCTGGGAATTTAGTTCAGTACTCCTTGGGTTCAATTCCTCAGCATTGCTCCCCTCCTGCCCACATCCCACAAAAGATTCTTGTTTATTTTGGAGATTTTAAACCAGGATTTTTGAACCAAAAGGAGAGCTGATGCAGGAAAATAACATTTGAGAAAATCACATTTATAGACCGTACTCCATTTACTTAAGTTACTTTCTGATCACTTTTTTAGGGAAAGGTTCTAGAGAAATGGTTCTTCCAAATGGACACATAGCCTTAAGGGAGTATCACTGTCTTTGCTTTTTTTGTATTAATATGTGTTGTTATGAATTAGTATCTATTTCCAAGGCAGAAGAGAAAAAAAGTGGGAGAGGAGACATGCTGGGGATCAAACCTTCAGCCTTGACTTGTCAAGCACTCCACCACTGAGCTCCACCCCCAGCCTAAGATGGAGCTCGTTTTTTTGTTTTTGTTTTTGTTTTTTTGTTGTTTGTTTTGAGACAGGGTCTCACTATGTAGCCCAGTCTGTCCTCGAACTCACACCAATCCTCTTGACTCAGCCTCCTGAGTGCTGGGATCACTAGTGTGCACCACTGTGCTGGCCTTGAGACAGAGTACTTGTGAGGATAAAGAAAACTTGAACACAGAAGCATACTTTAATTTATTTTGAATGTGCTATTTTTCTTAAAAATAATTTCTCACTAACTATGAGATAAGCGCATTATTCCACATTTGTGTTGTCAGCTTGAGACTTGGCCAGTGCTTTTTTGCTTTGCATGCTTTACTTTCTGTTCGTATGAGACTGACTGACCTGGCCTTCTGGCATTGATGCTCTGATGTGCTTGTTCTCTTCTAGAGAGGCCTTGTTGGCTGAGATGGGCGTTGCCATTCGGGAAGATGGAGGAACGCTGGGGGTTTTCTCACCTAAAAAGGTAGGAAGCCAGAGACTGTTCAGGGTTAGGGATGGAGCTGAGTGGCAGAGCATTTGCCTGCTATCCATGAGGCCCTGAGCGCAAGAGCCAGGCCCCCTGGCTTCCAGAAGAGAAACAATTGTCCTGGTCAGTGGGGCCCTTCACGTCTTCTCGGGGGTGGTATTTTCTCCTCTGCTTTTACCTTGATTTTTGGCTTAATGTCAGATGTTTCTGATTTTATCTTACAGTGCTGTAGTACAGGACAGTCTATTTCTAAAATACCTATCATGTTTACAAAAGAAAAAATCCATGCAGTAAATCTTTAACCTTTGCCACAATTTGTATGTTTGGTCATCTCATTGTTGCTTTCTCTTAAATTCCCATCCTAAACTAGCACATCTTGCTTCAGTGTGACTACACTTTCTATGTAGATTTGCTCAGAGAAGTCTCCAACCCTGCTCTATAACTTTTGGGAACCAATTTCAGCTGCTCAGATTTGTGTAGAAAAATACTACTTCCATGGTTTGTGTTATTTACAACCTTGTACTGAGTAAAACAGTTCTAGTCCTTTCTAGACTCCTCTGTTTTTGTTTTTGTTTTTGTAATGATTCCAATGGTTAGTTACTCTCCTGCTTACATAATTATAGTTATAAGAGTAGTTATAGAATAGTTTGGTACCTTTTTAGCTAATTAAAATAGTAATATAACTTTTTGTTTTGTTTTATTTTTGTTTCTGTTCCGGAGATTGAACTTGGAACCTTGAGCTTGTAAGGCAAGCAATGGAACCGCTGAGCTAAATCCCTGGCAGTAATATAACTTTTTAAACTGTGAAGCTTCTTAGTTATTTTGGATACCGGAAAACCAGTATCAAGCCAGGCATGGTGGCGCACGCCTGTAATCCCAGCCCTTGGGAGGCTGAGGCAGGAGGATCGCTGTGAGTTGAGACCAGGCTGGGCTACATAGTGAGTTTCAGATCAGTCTCAAATACATAGTGAGACCCTATCTCAAAAAAACCAAAAAAAAAAAAAGAAAAAAAAACAGTATCAAATTATTATTCTGTGTGTTTATGTACAATAATAGAACATACATTGATATACATAGTATCTATTTCATACCACTAATGAGTGATTCTTCCTTTTATGTGACCTCAAACTGGCCAGTAGAGACTTTTAAGCACCTTCAAGTGTAGATACAGACCTGGTTTCTCCTAAGGTAGGAGGGGCAGGGAGGGAATCTTGAGTTGGTACTTAGGATACAGTATGAAATATTCCTGTGTGTTTTGTATGGACTTTTTTGGTTAGGTATTTTTATCATGGTCACATTTTTTAAAAAAATAAATTCCAATGTGGTGGTTTTTTTGTTTTGTTTTGGTATCAGGGTTCAAACTTGGGACCTTGCGCTTGTGAGGCAGGTGGCAGCACCACTGAGCTAAATTCCAGGCCCTCAATGTATTATTTTCAACAAAAAATATTGATTTAAGTGCACTTTAGATACATATTACATTGATAAACAAGTTTTTATTCACCTTAATTTATAATTTAGTTGTTAAAACTTTATCAAATTTCTTTAATAATTTTTTTCAGCTTTAATTGAGTTTATTGGTACATTTTAGGGGTACAGTACAGTTACATTCATTGTTGGGATCTTGTACCTCTACATAACAGGTCTTGGTTCTCATTTTTTCCCCTTGTCCCTACCCTCCCTTCACCCCCTCCTCCTCTCCCCATCTACAACCACTTTATTTTCATCTTTTCATTATCTCACGTTTTTTTCTTTTCCCTTTTTACCCTTCCCCTGCCAATCACACCTTCCCTATACCTTTAGCTCCTTTCTTCCCATTTCTAAATGTCAGTAATCTTATTAGGATCTTCTGTATTATTGCAGATTATTCACACCAGAGAAACTATTTGGTATTTACACATGTGTGCCTTATTTATTTCACTTAGGAGTATATCTTCAGTATGTATCCATTTTCCTATGAATGAATCTATTTTCTCATTCTTTATGGCTGAGTAATATTCTGTTTTATAGAAAAACCACATCTTCTTTATCCAGTTTCCAACTGATGGGCAACAGAACTAGAACAATTATTTTATATTTATATAAAGGTCAGTGTTTTTCACAGTTTAAAAGTTTCCTTCAGTAACACGTATTTTTTCAAATATATTACAGTTGCACAGATTTTAGCAAGTATGGGTTTGGTGGGGTAGCTTTGCACATATCTGAAGGTCTTTCATAATGTTCAGTGCTTAAAACTAGGAGTGGCTGGGATGTAGCCCAGCAGTAGAGTGAGTGCTTCCCTGCTATATGTGACAGGCCCTGGGTTCACTCAGCACACAGGCACACACATGTGTAACGCATGCACACATACACATTTTGTGAGGGAAATATTAACAACTTGTAAAAACATTATGATATTTAATATGAATTCTAAATAATTCAACAGTGTTGTGATATAAACAGTACAGGATTCCATACTGAGGTCTTTGCTTTCAAAGCTTTTCTTGCTTTAATTTTGCCCATCTTGCTTTAGCTTCCTTTTTTTGTTTGTTTTTGAGACAGGGTCTCATATGATTTCAGGGTGGCCTTGAACTCACTGTGTGATCTAGGCTGGCATCAAATTTGGGATCCTCCTGCCTCAGCCTGTCTAGTGCTGGGATTGTAGGTGTGCACCATCACACCCTGCTGCTTTATTTTTTCAGGACTTCCTCAGAGAGGAATGTAACACAGACCACATCCAAACTCAATGTGGAACCTGTTCTTGAGATTCTCTTTTATAAGATAGTATCCTGCAGAGGCTGTCGTAAGGGTTCTGCCCAAAGAGGGCTTTGACTCTCCCAGACCAGCCATACCGTAGACTACAGGCATAGATGTGGTGGAGATTCAGAGGATGTTCTAATTTCCGTTTAACTGTCTTTGCAGTTCCATTTCTTTACCCCCTTATCTGACTCTTCCTTTAGTTTTACACATTTGCTGGCACTGTCTTGAGTAGATTTTGGCCCCAGGACCATGTGACTTAGTTTTGAATTCCAGTGGGATCTTTTCACCAAAGAAGGTTGTTTTTTTAAAAAAAATTTAGAAACAGAATTAAATGAATATTTTTAGAAGATATTTATATTATTGAATATCAGTAATTTTAATATTTAAATTTTTCCTTAGGGTAAAGACTAATAAACTAAAGTCAATGCCTGGGGCCATGGAAGAACTGTTGAAAATCATAAAGGGAAATGGCAGGGGATGTGGGGGAATTTTAATAAAAGTAAACGAAAAATCAAATCTTTTTTTTAAGTTTGTGCCCAGGCATTTGCATAAATTGTGGTTAATCCATCTAGAGAACCAGTGTGTTTTAATTTTCCTTTGTTCTCATTAAGCTGGGATCTTCTCAAGAGCTGGGTCCTGTTCTTCATCACAGAACTCATGTTTTTAAATAGACTGCTTTGGTACCCTTTGGGGAGGCCTGAGGGGCCTGTTTTCTCTTCACTGTGGAATTGTACACTGGAATTGTAACTCCTTGTAAAATCCCTTCTTCGGAGCCTGCAGGGAATCTGAAAGCCTGAGAAGCCCGGCCTCCTGCAGCTCCCGTGGCTGCTGCAGTGCTCCAAATTGACCAGCTGTAATCTTTTCCAGACCCCACATCTTGTTAACCTCAATGAAGACCCACTAATGTCTGAGTGCCTGCTTTATTACATCAAGGATGGGATTACAAGGTATGTTTGTTTCTGTGTTGGTGACTTAATAGTCTTTTCTCCTCGATGTTCAATGATTAAATAACTAAAGGGAAGTTACTGAAATTATTTTCTAACAATTTGCTGTTTCGCCTGTCTGAAATAATAACAGACTGTCTTCTCTGCTCTCTCCAAATTATGTATGTAAGTGGAACCACTTAAAATTTTTCTCTAGAAGACCCTAAGTATTTTTTTGTGCCTTTTTGTCAACTTGTATGAATTCATGAGAGAGGCTGACCACATATGAAAATACCATTTGCTCTCAGAAGCAAAAAGGAGACGATACCTTTTTTGTACATACCAGAGGACAGTCTTTGGGAGAAAGAGGTTCATTGTTTGCAAGTGCTCTTCGTGTCAGAATTTCCCTGGGAAACACTTTCTCTTGTGTTCAGGGTCGGCCAAGCAGATGCTGACCGGCGTCAGGACATAGTGCTGAGTGGGGCCCACATTAAAGAGGAGCACTGCATCTTCAGGAGCGAGAGGAGCAACAGTGGTGAAGGTGAGGTTCCTGGCTGGAACTTCTCCAGCAACTTTGCTTGCTATAGTCGAGAAATCCTGAAGATGTGGCATTCCCTGTCTCTGTTGTGCTACAATCTGTTATTGAAAATAGAGAGAACTGGGCTGCTTATAAATGCAGGGACAGACAAGCTGGTTTTCCATGAAAATAATAGGGACAAAAGGACCCCTTTTATCACTGCCAGGAACTGAGCAGGACAGGGGCAATTAGGCTTGGTCCTGAATGTTAATTATTTAATAGAAAATAAGAGAAGAATAAATACCATGGGTAATAGGAGATTTGAAGATCCTCAAGTCTTAACCCAATAGAATTTATTTTTATCTAAAAGGAAAGAAAAAGTCAGTCTTGATTTTTGCCCAGGTTATTAGCAAAACAGCAACAATCTCATGGTGTTTTGTGAGCTGGCTTATTATTCTTTCTTAACCAACCTTTTGTTTCCTTTGTTTTCTTAGTATGTAATTCTTTTGTAACCACAATACTGTACTAGCTTGTAATCTTCAGCTCTTGGTTATTGCTTGTGTCCCATACTTAAGATTTCTGCTGTGTTCAGTTTTATTGACTAAACTATCAGATATTTCTTTTATGCTTCTTCTGAGATTTGTCACATTTAGTCAAATGTTTCATCTTAGCCACAGCCCCATATAACCTCATATTGTGGGACTCATTCTGGTGCCCAAAAAGGAACTGCCCCATAGAGATAGATATTTCAGCCACTTGTGTGGTTGTTGGAATCTGTTGTAGTTCCCTGAGCCCTGATAGGAAACTACCTCCCTTTATTTGATCCTGGTGAGCTGTAATGATGACATGAGTTTGTATTCCCCTAGTTATCGTGACTCTGGAGCCCTGTGAGCGCTCAGAAACCTACGTGAACGGCAAGAGGGTAGCCCAGCCCGTTCAGCTCCGCTCAGGTGAGACTGGGGGATGTTTGAGCTTTGCAGCAATGGACACATGGCTTGTGTGAACAACTCTCCTTCCAAAAGCTGTCTCTTTTGTATTATTAAAGTAGATGCTATAGAATTAAAGATTTATTTAGGGCTGGGTGGGGTAGCACATACCTGTAATCCCAGCCACTCAGGAGGCTGAGACAGGAGGATTCTGAGTTTTTGGCTACCCTAGGCTATCTCAAAAACGCAAAAGAATGAAACAACAGAGGAAAGGGTATTTAAAATCAATCAATGATTCCCTAATCGTATTTCTGTTTTGTGCTAGGAAACCGTATCATCATGGGTAAAAACCATGTTTTTCGTTTTAACCACCCTGAGCAAGCACGGGCTGAGCGGGAGAAGACTCCTTCTGCTGAGACCCCCTCCGAGCCCGTGGACTGGACATTTGCCCAGAGAGAGCTCCTGGAGAAGCAAGGGATTGATATGAAACAGGAGATGGAGAAAAGGTAATGCACAAGTAACAGGTAGCCCAGGTGGCTCTGTTTTAAACATAATAGCATTTATGAAAACATTGATGATTTCACCATTTATTATTTTTTGTTTTGTTTTGTTTTGTTTTTTTTCCTTCCAGGCTCCAGGAAATGGAGATCCTTTACAAAAAGGAAAAGGAGGAAGCAGACCTTCTGTTGGAGCAGCAGAGACTGGTAGGAGCCTCTCCTGAGTCCTGAGTCTGCTAACGTTAGGAAGGGCAGCTGCTCCTACCCCATCCCAGTTCACAGTTGAGCATATCAGGCTCACTGGTGCTGTATGCTGTTCTTTTCATTTCCTTTGTGGAGGACTGAATCTCCTGGTAGCTGTAGTCTGAAAACTATCTATAGAGCCTCTTATATCTGAAAGTCAAATCTTTATTTCTATCACAACTGAGTGTGTTTTTAAGGAAGTGGGGTTTTTCTGGTACCTTTGCTTCTTGGTAGTGGTTTTTGAATCTGCATCAGTGGTGGTCCTTTTAATGATAATTACTTTAAATGTTGAATTTGATGGAGTTTGCCTTGGTTTTGTTTCTGATCACCTGATAGTACTAATTCTCTGCTCTTGGGCTGACTTGGGGATTGTTCTTGTGCTGGGCAGATTTTTCTTTTTTTAAGTTAAACTGTGTCTAAAAGTATTGCTGCACAGTTGCATGTGTTAATCCTTTTTCTGTCCCCCTGCATGGAGTCTGAATTCTCAGTAAGGTTCTCAGTGGCATGTGTGGTAACAGTGGGAACAGGGGCTGAACACCCACCTCAGACTGAAGCAGGAGCTGCTATCCTCTGGGTTGGGAAAGGATTTGGAGTGCAAAGTCAGTGGTCTCACTGCAATGCTAATAGCTTTAGCATTTTATGAGACTAATTGACTTTCTAGGTTTGATAGAAACTGAATCGCATGAATAAGTAAATTGATCTGTTAGCAGATTTTTATTTTTAAAACCAACCTGTTTTGGTTACCAAAGCCTTGGTATAAGAAGCTCTTGGGCATTCATTTGATGTAACATGAAAACAGTTTAGGAGGTTTCTTCATATTTCAAGATTCACAGTCTTCTTTGAAGATAAAGGGGCATGAGAGAGAAAGCTGAGGTGCTGGCTTTTTTCCTTAACATAAATTACAGCATGTAAATTAAACAATCCTGTTCGGTGCTTTGGAGAAAAAGGGACCATAGCATAATGGGCCAAAAAAGCCAAGGACTTGAGCAAGAGCAGCCTTTTCCAGGCCATCTCAGCTCTTGGGTGGGCAGTGGGTTAAACCGTTTAGTTGGTATCTCGGAAATTATAGTAAAGTCTCCAAAAATATGGATTGTAAGGATAGTGTTTAAGACAAGGTAATGCCAGTGTTACAGGTAGAGCTTCTGTATATGGCTTGCTTGGCACTGGCTTTATTGAAACAGATTTAGCTACCATATGATTAGGTTTTAAAAGGTTTGTGACACATGAAGGAGCCTTTTATCTTAAAGATGTAGTATAATCTAACAACATGCCTCTGATGGTCTGTGAGAGATCAAACGAGGACAGGTATAATTAAGCTCTATTATTAACAATAGTGTCTTATATTTGTATAGTGCTTAATAATTTACAAAGAGCTTAACATCTTTCATTTTATTTGATCCTTAAAACAACCTTCCTTGGTAAGTGTTGTGTATGTAAGATCCTTTAATATTACCCCTAGTTTATAGTCAAAGAAATTAAAGCTAAAATAATGCTGTCTTGCCCACTCTTAAACACCTGCTAAGTCACAGGTCTGAGGCTTCCACTTGGTCGTTCTGACTTGATTTCTCTTGTCCTGTCCTTTAAAACAGTGCTTTCCAGCCACCTTAAAGTCTTGTGGAAATGTAGATGTTGACTGGGGAGGTCTGGGGAGGGACCTGTGAGTCTGCATTTCTAACAAGCTCTTTGGTGATGCGAGTGCTACTGGCTCATGACCACACTGAGTAAACTGGGCATGAAAGAATAATGGTGCCTAGTGCTGTCCACAGGCAAGAGTTGGTGAACATTAAATAAAGAGAAAGCAAGCGTCACTTAAGATGTGCTTAGTTTCTAGGGAACATTCAGTCCCCAGATAATCAGGTTCTGGTTGTCATTTGTTCAGTGTATCTGAAAGCAAGTGAGGGTTTCAGGACCAGTTCTGCATAGCAAGGAAGTTTCTTTCCTTCCCCAAAGTCTAGCAGGCTGTTCCACTGAAGTCTCTTGACCTCAAGAGAAACTGATTTCTAGCACTTTATCTTAAAGCCTATCTACCAGTAACTGTACTGAGCAAAAAAAAAAAAAAAAAAAAAAAAATTGTTTGTTTGTTTGTTTTTTGTTTTTGGTACCAGGGATCAAACTCTGGCCATTGTGCTTGCAAGACCAGTGGAACCACTGTGTCAAATCCCTGGTCCCTAAAAAAATGTATTTTTATGACACAATACTTTTTAACCAATACATATATCCTGTGCGTAAAGATTGACAGGATACATTGCTTCTTAGCCTTTTGGCTAAAATCAAGATTGATAGGATACAAATGAATTATTATTCAATAAATACATATTTAATATTTATGATGTAATTATTTTTTATGTAATGTCAGCATTAAAAAATGGACTTTGTTTAGCCGGGCATGTTAGCACATGCCTGTAATCCCAGCACTCAGGAGGCTGAGGCAGGAGGATCGCTGTGAGTTCGAGACCAGCCTGGGCTATACAGTGAGTTCCAGGTCAGTCTCAACTACATAGTGAGACCCTGTCTCAAAAAAACAAAACAAAAACAAAAACAAAAAAACTTTGCGCTTACAGGCTTCTGTGATAGTTCCCCAAATGCGTCTTACCTTTCTGTGCTTGCATCTTCACACAGGTTTAGTACTTGTCTTTGTATAAACTTGCAGAGTCTCTTCAGGAGACTTGCTTTGCATTTATTAATGAATGATAACAGATGATCACTTCGTGACTTTATAAAATGGCCAAACTGCAGAAGGGTTTTTTCCAGCCCTGTAATCAGTGAATCTAAGTATTTTTAAATCTCCTGGGGTTTTTTGACATAAGATAGGACTTTGTATCTTTGTCCATAAAGCTTATGTAAAGTTTTTAGTATCATGGTCACGATGTGATAGGGTGATTCATTTAACTGTAAAGAGGACTACTCTCTAGTCAGTTTGACAGTATCTTAAAAACAAAATTATGGCTGTCTGATTAACTTGAGTTATTTTGGAATTATGTAGATTCTATGTTTTTTATTTTAGAGTTTAAAGATGTAATTTTTATCTCTCAAGCCTAATATTAAAGCAGTGATTAGAGTAGTTGTCATTAAAAAAAAAGAATAGTTGTCATTTCCTAAATTACATAAAATTCATTTCATCCCTAAGCAATTATAAAAGGAAAGTCACCAGGAAAAAATGATAGCTGTCATTTATGAGGGAGCAATCAAAGAGAGCTTGTTCATGTTCTCTAAAACTTAGCTTATATGTGTTTGCTGAAACAAATAAACCTTCTCAAGTCATACTTTTTCTGTAATGTCTTTAATAGCATCTTTGCCTACCTTAGCCATCCTGCTGTTTTCCCTTTGTGGTGCTGGGGATTGAACTCAGGGCCTTGTATGTGTTAGGCAAGTGCTGTACCACAGAGCCACACCTGCACCCTCTGTTCTGCTTTCTGAAACTCAAAATGAAAAGAAAACTATTCAGAATCTGTACATTTGGCTATATATCTGCTTTTGTTAAGTTCTCAGATAGATGAGGATTATTAAATAGGTTTAGTACCTTTTTATTGATAGGCTAATAGAAAAAATACAAACCAATAGCAGTAGCTTCATATTCAGAAGCCAAATTATTGTCAGTTTTTCTTTCCCTAGAAAGTAACTATACATAGAGATCTTTTTTCTAGAAAGTAAGATACTATTTATCAGTTACATTTCCTTTTTTAAAAATCTTTTGCTAGAGCTATTTTTGGTTACCACAACCAAGAAGAGGTTATTAATAATATTTCCATTTACTAGGTTATCTTAAACTACTCATGTAGCATTTTCTTGTCCCAGAAACTTTTGTTTCCTGAATAAAAATTTTTCCTAATCTTGTTATATGTAATTCTAAAGCCAGCATTGCTTTCATATAGATCCAAGTTAGAAAAATTTGCTTGTGTTTGTTAAGAACTGTTGGTTATTAATCAAATAGTCCTTAAAACTATGTTGTTGTAAAGTGAGACTGCTATTTTAGGCCTACATAAAGTTTTTTTTGGAAAAGAAGTAGTGGTACACAGACAGCTGGAAAGACAAGAGTTAGGGATACATTTTTAAGTGGATCCATTTTACATGTAGACAGCATAATCTTTGTGTTTTTTGTGTCATTTGGAAGAGTTGTCCCCTAAAAGTGTATCCCTCAAATAATTAGAAGTGCCAGTGATTTCTAGATTTTAAAAATATCTTAAATTATATTTATTAAAATATGCTATTACCTGGGGAAATTTATGTTTAAGTGGAAATATATTTGCTAGCTTAATTTTTGTTCTAGTAGTTTATCTCAAAACTTTGGCGGTGAGATATTATTGGGTTAAGCGTGTGAAAAACAAAAATAAACCCGAGCCACTACAAGGATTCTTTTCTTTTTCTTTTTTTTGTGGGGGGGGGCTTCCTTGTTCTCTGGGTAGCACATTTAAATGTACAATTGAAGTAGATTAATTTAACTTGACAAAAGAAAATAGAAAATCCAGTGTCTTCTCCTAGAAAGATTAGTTTCAAAGCCCTTTTTCTTTGCCTGCCAGCAAAAAGAATTTGGTTAATAAGCACCTTGTAGGATCTGCTAATAGGTATTCTTAGCACTTTTAACATCATCACTGTTTGCTTCTTTTTCTACTTTCTCATCCTCTAACTTTTTTCTAGGGCTGCTCTTTTTAGTAAAGCTAAACAAACTTGGCATCCTGTAGCCTTACTAACCTTTGTTAATCCGCCTGCTCGTCACCTCTTGTATGGAATCTGTGCTCACTCATGTGGGAAGGAGATTCTGGAAGAAGCAACAGCAATAACCAAGGCAAATGGAGGTGGTAGCTGCATGGATTGTTAGCACGTGTTGGGCAGGGGTCTGACTGGGTTTCCTTGAGACTGGCCATGTGGGAGATTCACTCCCTGTGTAGCCCTCCTAAGAAATTCGGTTAAAGATTGATCATTTGAGCCAGAAAGTGGAAATTTGAATTAGGACTACTAAATAAACA